CGTGTATGTGGGCGTGCATGTCCAATTTATGTTGAACATCCAATGTGCTGCAGCAATGTATGTAATTGCCGAACCATATGTTAAAATATGTGGATGTATGGGCCAAAGGCCTTTCAAATCAATAAATCATTTTGAATCTTGAATCTCTCTCTCTTTCTTTCTTTCTTTCTTTCCTTCTTTCTTTCTCTCTCTCTTTCTCTCTCTTTCTCTCTCTCCCTCTCTCTCCCTCTCTCTCCCTCTCTCCCTCGCCCTCTCTCTCTCCCTGTCCCCTCTCCATAACAGTCTGTCTACACTACAACTTTCTCTTGGTAACGACTGCTTAAAACTAATGTGGAGCTATATAATAATATGTGACATGTTCAAGAATACCGAGCCTAAAGTGGTCGGGTGGCTGGAGGGCGCCATTGGTTGTTCCTATTTCTTTGTATTCCTTCTGTTGTTTTTGTTCCTCTCTTTTTCTCAGCACTAAGTGACTATTATTGTGTCAATGTGCTTTTCTTTACTCTCATACAAACAAACAAACAAACAAACAAAATAAAAAGAAAAGTCTGAATTCCGAACGCCGAACGCTCTTGTTTTCCCACACAATCCATGTACGACATAGCTGACTTTGCGTCTACTTTTGTCTATGGAAAAGGCTGGTTGACCTAACCTACCGTAACGCAGATGCTTGCCTTCGGTGTTTTATATTCTTTGCCATGATGTAGGGTGCCATGAGTACGGTCACTCTGCGATCAAGTTCAAAATCCTTACAGCAAAAGTTGATAGAAGAGTTATCTATCAAATAAAAAGTCCGTGTTTCGGCTAGCCGGTACACATTTAGATTCTAGGTGTAACAAAATTTGGCGACAAACATGCTAGGAATCGGTCGTGTGTATATTCCGTGCTCTCGTGAATAAGTGGTATGACTGTAGGTGATTTGTGCTTTATTTGACTGGATTTGTATACTTTTATCAATAGCCTTCTGGTATTTTGTGATAATGTACACTCCCCCCCCCCCAAACCACCACTTTTGAAATATCCCCACCATATCCCACAGATTCCCTCTGTCTTTTCCTTAAGAGCTGCTAAAATAAAACGATTGTACTCGAACAAAGGCAATCAGTGGGTTCACCAAATTATCATATGTCATTCCGTTAAAGATAAAAGGCTACATAATTTGCAGCACATAAAATGACACCTCCGGGTAAAAACGCCAAGTGCTTACTAGGGAGCCACCAACTACTTTGGGAACGTGTGATAGAAAAGACTGGTTTCCGGTATCCGTACAAATCATTGTCGTTCTTGAGGGTGATTTGGAGGACGCTACTGGTAGATCCAACTACTTCTTTACTGTCCCTCTGTTAATTCTGTTAGTCTTACTCTTTCCCAGTACTAAATTAACATTATTGTGTCGTATCGACGTGCTTCTCTTTACTCATACTCAAACAAAACACCTTCTCTTAACTCAAACATTTTTTAAAAATACGTTGTCGGTCTTTGTGACTTTCCTTTCGCAGGTTCTTCTCGGGCATGATGTATGGAGCCGTAAACACTATCTCTCTACCTTTCACCATCGAGTTCTTGTCGACCAGCTGGAGAGCTGTGCCCACAGCTGTTCCCGTGATCAGCTCCCTCCGCCTTATACAGTGTGTCCAGTGGTATATACTCCCAGAATGGAGATCCCTCTATCTGGTATCCACCATGTTCAGCCTACCAGTATTTTTCACTTTCATGTAAGACTGTTACTCATCGCTGACTGAGGTGCAATAATGGCCAAGCGGTATCATGGGTACCATGTGTGTATACACGAAGTGCATACAGAATGCAAAGCCATCTTTAACTAAATTATAAAGCGTTAATTTATTGCTTTGCATCTTTTCCAAAACAGAAAACCCACACTCCCACGGCCACATGTACTGACCAAAATTGTGTTCGATAGTGTCGTAGAACACCTACTCAATCAATCAATCAAAGTTCCCACATGTACCACCTCAAACCTTCTAGACTCCCTTCACACTGACGACTTTGCCAGAACGTATAGACAGCCATGTTTTGCATTTATATGGCCCACAGAATTGATCGAAACCATACACATCCCTTACCCAAACTCAATGTTTTATTTATGTTTTACAAAAGTGCCTGTTGCTGTTGTCGTCGTCGTCGTTGTTGTCGTTGTCGTTGTTGTCATTGTGTCGTTCCAGTGCTGGAATATAATTGTTTCACGGTTCTCCGAGCATAATATACAGGTATTTTCCTCCACACTGAAGTTTTGCTCATCAAATTTGTACACATTTGGAAGTCAAAAGGAATTTGTCTGATATTCTTTCTTTTTTTTAATCCACTGAATAGTTTTGCTGTACACAGCGCGTAAAAAACCCCATTTGTAGCTATGTCACCATTTTTGTAACATGACGCACTAGTTCGCATAAGCCTACCACTAAAAATTCTCTCTCTCTCTCTCTC